AGCATGGTAACGTGGTTATTATTGTGCTTCTAGCATGGTTATATGCACAGTAACATGCTAACATTTAGCAGCTGAGGAGCGTTGATTAGCTTGTTAGGTAACATCCTGTTAAAAAATGCTGAACAGCACGAATCTTCAGGTTTCATCCTCTTGAAGGTGTCAGATTTGATGGTGATCAATGTGCTAAATGTGGAGACACGGTGCAACCTGAGTACACTGCAGCCTGAAGGCGTTTTCTTTAACTGAGAAACAGCAGATTGAAACCGAAGCCGTTCTCAGTGGACGGAGCAAACTAACTTTTCATGTCCAAATATTTCAGAAACGAGGTGGAATCTGTTTTTGGTTGGTTGCAATGAAAAGGGAAGGGAAGGTCAAAATGAAGAGAAAAGATGCCTTTTGAAAGTTACATTATTTAAAAAATATCAGTGTTCGTGTGAAGAAAGACTTCAAGAAACGTGACTAGTCACATTGTTGACAGAAACACTTTATTTAAGCTTTTTCTACGATGTTCATTGTTAGTTTTGTCGACACATTGTTTATATCTGAGACAATACGATCGCTGTAATGTAATCTATCGATGCAGTGAGTACGTTTTTTATTTACAATTTTTTAATGTGACTATTCTCTAGTTTGTGTGCAGTTGATTTAAACACCGGTCCTAAAGCGTGTCTTCTCTCTGGACTCTGTCTTGTTGTTAACGAGGGCCACGTGGCACCTTGAATGTCCTGTGCAGTAAACAGTGTGCTAACAGTGTGCTAACAGTGCAGCTGCATCAGACCACAGTAACTACGACAACAAAGTGGTTAATTTCGTTAACGACAGAAAATATCCGTTGAGCTTTTTGTCACAATCTAAATATCTATAAATCTAAATAAAAAGTCACTTTGAAAAACAATGATTGCAATTTTCGTCGTCAAACAAACTAAAAAAATAAAACAATGCACTTATTACCATTTGAATGGAAAGTCTTATTTTAAGACCTGTGAAAGATTATCCCTTCAGAAGTTGATTTAGCTGTTTGACAAATTGTACTCACATTATAAGTATCTTCCAGTTGTTGTTATTTCTGGTGATGTTGTCTAATATTGTTGGTTTATGTCTAAATCATTTCAGATCATCCTAAGAACGAGATAACTGCTGAGATAAACCTTAAAACCTGGCAGCATTTATAAAAGAACAAACAAATATAATAAAAATATGATTATAAATGATATTATATAATATAGTTTATATCATAAATAACATAAACGAACGTAAAGAGCTGTGGATGTTACCCTTTAAATGCTTTGAAGGATTGAAGAATTCACCACTAAAAGGAGAATAAGTGCCAACAAGAAGTAAAACAGACACTAACATGTGACTAAATGTAATAATCCTTTTTTAAGACACCTAACATAAAACCGGGTGTTAAAATGAACACGGATCACATTAGAATGTAAACTGATCTGTGTTGATATTGTTAAATGTAATCTAAACTATCCCGCCAAGAAAAAAAAGGAAACTTGAGAAGTGTTCAAAATAAAAAATACTAGTTTTTGCAAATGTCTGACTTGGTCTCGTGATCTTGATTTAAACTACGACACTGTAATTTAAAACTTGTTGACGTCATCATTTTGACTTAATTTCTTAATTGTTGGTACGCGACTAAAAGATGTGCCTGATATCTCATCATTTGTGTTCAATTCCTCAAACTCAAAGTGTTTTTTACTTATTATCTGTAGAGTTTTTACTTGCATGAGTATTTATTCTAATTTCTGTCATGTTGAAGTTTTAATTTACTTTATATTAAAATGGGCTTCCACACTAATCTAATGTAGGTGGAAGGCGTGATGACAACACGCAAATCAACTGTTCTGGGCTTGCAGTGTGTGTGTGTGTGTGTGTGTGTGTGTGTGTGTGTGTGTGTACTTTTTTCTTAGATTGTCGTCTGTTTGTTTGTTGTCTTTTTGTGAATCCCCGATAATGTCCAACTGTCTTATTTGTATCACGGTGCTATCTATGTACGCGTTTTGATAAACGCTGTCGACTTTGTATAAGAAGAGACATGATTGATGTGAGTTGACGAGGTCGGCGATGGGAAGGAGCACTTTGTGACTTACTAAAGTGTTTTCATAGACTGTGGTTTGGGAGCTAAAGCTAAAAAAAATAACGTTTGATTCTTGAAAACA